TAAATGATTATCATTTATCATTTGTACAGCGTATACAATCTTTTAAAGGGATCCGGTAACTTTGTTTCAGATTCTGAAACAAAATTCTGTATTTAGCTCATGCTGCAATGATAATTATAAACCTTTAGGTCAGTCAGGAGGCCGATGAGTTTTACAATCCCATCGCCTCTCTAATTATCAAGATATTTATGATTGAAATTACAAATTTTGAAAACCGGTTGCCAAACGGTTTTCATAACACTACAGTCTATTGGGGAAAACAATTATGGTAAAACCGGTCACTCAAAGATTTTTACTTTTTTGAGGCACTCCTTGATCATTTTGAAGCGCAATTTTGTTAGGACTTCAATATTATACCATATCACAGACAGTGATAACACGTAGTGCCGTGTATCTCAGATTTAACATTGTTAAACGATCCCTTTAAAAGCTCTTGAGAAAAAATAATGACACATTATATTTGAACTTATTTTAATCAGTTACTATTATTTGAAATAACAAATTATTAGTTGGAAAATACTTTCTGATAAGTTGCAATTGATATCCCTTTTCTCTCTGTTTGGCTTTGAAATTAATCTTTATTTTCAAGATTTCTTGTCTTTATTATCAATTAAAATGTTCTACATTTAACAATAATATTCACAGACGTCATGTCTGAAACTACTCCGCTCAATTGGTTATCAAAGCAAAATGAATCATTGAAATATAACTTCCAAAATGAGAAAAATAAATGGAAATCCATAGAGTACCCAGGATTTTATAAAGATTACAGCATTATAAGCTTTTTTTTTCGAATTCCATTTTACTGTATCTTCATATCGCATTCTGTTTGAAAATTTTAGAATGTTAACCTCGTGGAATTGTTCAGAAAAATGAATGAAAAGTGAATTGTTCTTTTTGGACATGTAAGACAGGTCAGCAAAATCAAACACTTATCAAATAAAGATTATAGGATTATGTCCGATACTTACGGACTGTGAATGACGATCGAGTGCAGAAGAACAAAAGATAGAATTACAGATAAGTATGGACTTCATGTATAAATCATGTTCCTCATTTGGTAGAGAACGGGAGGGATGATTCGGTTATTAATTCAGTTATTATTTCTTGAGAGTTCGTGTCCTTTATATTAGTTAGTTTTTATGTTAACAATGGCTTAGCAAACACTTGTTCTTATTGTATTGCAAGAATGTCTGTTCGTACCGAAGGACGGCAACACTACTTCTTTTTAGGAGGCTATGAAAATCAGATACAATCCTAAAAGTTTCTTATGAAGATAAAAGTTGTAAATTTAAATCGTAAAACTGAAATGAGAAATGTTATATGATCAATATATGACACCATTTTCCTCTGTCTACATTTTCTTATCTCTTTATAGTGTATCTCCATACATTTAAAAACTAATGTTTTGTGTGAAATGTCCAAATAAAACAGAATTTACTTTAAGAAGAACAGTCTCTGACAAATATAGTTGAAGTGTTTGTATTTTGCTTATATTACTTAGTTTATTGTTGTGTGCTTATAATATTTGATATTTCTTTTTGTTTTGTTTTTCATTCTTTAATGGGCGATCCAACTTCACAGGTTTTCGCAACCTTCATGGAAAGCCCCGCATATAACCTTTGTAAACATAGTTAAAATTTACCGTTACTTTGTATATTCTGATTTTTATATTGCGAAATAAAATTGAATTGAATTTAATTGAAATAACCAAAATTTAATAACTGTATCGATTATCAAAAACTAGCCAAAATCATGGGGCATGAAGAAAAATGAGAGGAAAAAGAAATGAGATCTTAATCAATAAAGATATATACTGTACAAATAGGTTTTTTCTTTGATAATCGTAAAAAATATCATATTAATTTGTACAGCGCATAACCGTGTTTAAAAAGGTCTTGAAAAAAAAATGACACCTCATATAGGAACTGACATATCAAATAAATATATAAGGATCAAATTGCATACTTACCATCTGTGAACGTAGATCAAGGGAATAAAAAAAAAATATATATAATATAATACAGACTACAAATATAAATCATGTTGCTTTTTTGGTAAAGAACGGGAGGGAAGTTTCGGTTAATCATTTCGTTATTATACAAATTATAACACTAGGTTAGCAAACACTTGTTTTTATTGTTTAGCCACAAACCCTTTCGTTCCGAAGCACTGTTACACTATTTCTTTAAAGGAGGACATGGAAATCAGATACATATAAAAATTCTTATGAACATAAAAGTTGTAAATTTAAATCGAAATACTGATGTATGAGAAATGTTATATCAATATATGATACCATTGTCCCTGTCAACATTTTCTTATCTCTTTTTAGTGTATCTCCATACATTTTAAAACTATTGTTTTGTGTAAAATGTCCAAATAAAAACAGGATTTACTTTAAGAATTACATTCTCTGATAAATAACCAACATTTAATAACCATATAGATTTTCAAAAAATGGCCCAAATCATGGGCCATGAAGAAAAATCAGAGGAAATAGAAATGAGATCTTGATCAATAAAGATGTATACTGTACAAATAGGCTTTTCCTTTGATAATCGTAAAAATTATCATATTACATTTGTACAGCGCAAAACAGTGTTTTAAAAGGTCTTGAAAAAAAATTAAACCTCATATAGGAACTGACATATTAAATAAACATATAAAGATTAAGTTTCATTCTTACCTTCTGTGAACGTAGATCAAGGGAATAAAAAAAAATATATATAATATAATACAGACTACAAATATAAATCATGTTGCTTTTTTGGTAAAGAACGGGAGGGAAGTTTCGGTTAATCATTTCGTTATTATACAAATTATAACACTAGGTTAGCAAACACTTGTTTTTATTGTTTAGCCACAAACCCTTTCGTTCCGAAGCACTGTTACACTATTTCTTTAAAGGAGGACATGGAAATCAGATACATATAAAAATTCTTATGAACATAAAAGTTGTAAATTTAAATCGAAATACTGATATATGAGAAATGTTATATCAATATATGATACCATTGTCCCTGTCAACATTTTCTTATCTCTTTTTAGTGTATCTCCATACATTTTAAAACTATTGTTTTGTGTAAAATGTCCAAATAAAAACAGGATTTACTTTAAGAATTACATTCTCTGATAAATAACCAACATTTAATAACCATATAGATTTTCAAAAAATGGCCCAAATCATGGGCCATGAAGAAAAATCAGAGGAAATAGAAATGAGATCTTGATCAATAAAGATGTATACTGTACAAATAGGCTTTTCCTTTGATAATCGTAAAAATTATCATATTACATTTGTACAGCGCAAAACAGTGTTTTAAAAGGTCTTGAAAAAAAATTAAACCTCATATAGGAACTGACATATTAAATAAACATATAAAGATTAAGTTTCATTCTTACCTTCTGTGAACGTAGATCAAGGGAATAAAAAAAAATATATATAATATAATACAGACTACAAATATAAATCATGTTGCTTTTTTGGTAAAGAACGGGAGGGAAGTTTCGGTTAATCATTTCGTTATTATACAAATTATAACACTAGGTTAGCAAACACTTGTTTTTATTGTTTAGCCACAAACCCTTTCGTTCCGAAGCACTGTTACACTATTTCTTTAAAGGAGGACATGGAAATCAGATACATATAAAAATTCTTATGAACATAAAAGTTGTAAATTTAAATCGAAATACTGATGTATGAGAAATGTTATATAAATATATGATACCATTGTCCCTGTCAACATTTTCTTATCTCTTTTTAGTGTATCTCCATACATTTTAAAACTATTGTTTTGTGTAAAATGTCCAAATAAAACAGGATTTACTTTAAGAATTACATTCTCTGATAAATAACCAACATTTAATAACCATATAGATTTTCAAAAAATGGCCCAAATCATGGGCCATGAAGAAAAATCAGAGGAAATAGAAATGAGATCTTGATCAATAAAGATGTATACTGTACAAATAGGCTTTTCCTTTGATAATCGTAAAAATTATCATATTACATTTGTACAGCGCAAAACAATGTTTTAAAAGGTCTTGAAAAAAAATTAAACCTCATATAGGAACTGACATATTAAATAAACATATAAAGATTAAGTTTCATTCTTACCTTCTGTGAACGTAGATCAAGGGAATAAAAAAAAAAAATAATATAATACAGACTACAAATATAAAACTTGTTGCTTTTTTGGTAAAGAATGGGAGGGAAGTTTCGGTTAATCATTTCGTTATTATACAAATTATAACACTTGGTTAGCAAACACTTGTTTTTATTGTTTAGCCAAAAACCCTTACGTTCCGAAGCACTGTTACACTATTTCTTTAAAGGAGGACATGGAAATCAGGTACATATAAAAATTCTCATGAACATAAAAGTTGTAAATTTAAATCGAAATACTGATGTATGAGAAATGTTATATCAATATATGATACCATTGTCCCTGTCAACATTTTCTTATCTCTTTTTAGTTTCATACATTCTAAAACTATTATTTTGTGTAACATGTTTTTAAAAAATAAGAATAATATTTCCTGAAAAATTAACAACATGTAATGCTACTTTTACACTATGTTCTTGGTAGCCACGGCAGCCCCATCTCCTCGAAACGTAGAGCGTCGTGGGATTTTGTCGATTTTTCTCAGTGTCTATCACGGTTTCCGTGACGGGTCGTGGGAGGGTAAGGAGTTCCAAGGCACACTGCGGACTACCAAGGATGCTAGTACGTTTAGTGTCGGCCGTTCACGTTCTGATCAAGGACTGACACGTTTTTCACGTTCTGTCAAGGCTTTCTACCGATGAAACATGGATGCCGGGCAGCTTTGAAGCATTTCTTGTCTTTACTATCAATTAAGATGTTCTATAATTAACAATTAAATTTACAAACCCCATATTAATTTAAAAGGAATTGTTCATATTGGACATGTAAGAAAGGTCAGCAGAATTAAAACACTTATCAAAAAGATATTATAGGATTATGTCTCATACTTACCACGGCCTGTGAAACAAAGATCAAGGGCAGAAGAAAGAAATAGAATTACAGATAAGTAAAGACTATATGTATAAATCATGTTCCTCATTTGGTAGAGAACGGGGGTGGGGGTGGGGGGGGGGAGTTTCGGTTAATCATTTCGTTATTATTTCTCGAGAGTTCGTGTCCTTTATTTAAGTTAGTTTTCGTTTTAAAAATGGCTTAACATACACTTGTTCTTAATTTATTGCAAAAATGTCTGTTCGTACCGAAAAACGGCAACACTGCTTTTTTTAAGGAGGCTATGAAAATCAGATACAATCATTTAAAAATCCTTATGAATACAAAATTTGTAAATTCAAATCCTAAAACCGATGTGAGAAATTAGATATCAATAAATGGTACCATTACATTCATTTATCTTTGTATCGTTTCCATACATTATACAAATGATTATCTTTTGTAAAATGTACAAATAAAAACAGGATTTACTTTAAGAATAACATTCTCTGACAAATAACGGACATTTAATAACCATATAAACGATGAATAATCGGCCAAAATCAGGGGCCATAAAAAAAGATCGGAGGAAGTAATAATGAGATCTAGATCAATATAGATATACCGTACAAATAGGCTTTTTCTTTGATATTCATAAATAACCATCATATTAAATTTGTACGGTGTATTCCATAACATTTTAAAAGCTCTATAAAAAAAAATGACAACTCATATTTGAAGTTATTTTAATCATTTACTATTACTTGGAATTTCAACATTGGAAATAAGAATTTATACTTCGGAAAGATCATTTCTTTTTTAGGTGCTTCTTTTCTTTCTGTGTTTGAAGTTAAAATTAATCTAAATTTTTAAGATGTCTTAGTTTTTTTAAAATATTATTAACATGTTCAACATTTAGAAATAATATTCACAGACCACATAGTATGAACGCAATACACTCTACTGTTATTAAAGTAAAGTGAATGAACGCATTACATATACAAATCCTGAAATGAAAATAAATATTTAAAAAAAGTACAAAGTGTAACCAGGATTTTATGAAGATAAGAGCATTATAAGCCATGAGTGCGTGAAAAGGTTCAGAATAATGAATGAAAATGAATTGATAATAAAGGACATGTAAGAAAGGTCATCAGCAAGTAACCACTTATCAAATTTATATTATAGTATTAAGTTCTATACTTACGTTCTGTGAAGGAAGATCAAGGGCCGAAGACAAAAGATAGAATTACAGATAAGTTTAGATTACATATATTATTCATGTTCCTCTCTGGGTGGAGAACGGAATGCAATTTGCTGTTAATCTTCAAGTTGTTGGTATTATTTCTGGCGAGTTCATGTCCTTTATATTTAGTTAGTTTTCATTTTAACAATGGTTAGCAAACACTTGTTTTTATTGTATTGCATGGACAAGCGCGTACTCAGGGAGTGGGGGGGGGGGGGGGTTGGGGGGTTAAACTCCCCCTTAGGTATTTTTATGTGTGTTAACCACTCTAAAACCCCCCTAACCCCCCTTTTGATTTTTTTTTTTAATTATTAAAAAAAAAAAAAAAATATTCGCATGGCTGACCTGAAAAAGGTAACCTTACCCCCCCCCCCCCCAACGGAGCAAAATGTCAAATTTTCAAATTTCGAGACAAAAAAAAAAAGTGTCCTCTTAAAAAATGGCCAAAATCATGGGCCATGAGGAAAATTAAGAGGAAATAGAAATGAGATCTTGATCAATAAAGATGTGTACTGTACAAATAACCTTTTTCTTTGATAATCGTAAACATTATCATATTACATTTGTACAGCTCATGACAGTGTTTTAAAAGTTCTTGGAAAAAAAAATGACACCTCATATAGGAACTGACGTATCAAAGAAATATATAAGGATTAAGTTCCATACTTACGTTCTGTGAACGAAGATCAAGGGAATAAGAAAAAAGAATTACATAATACAGATTTCATGTTGCTCTTTTGGTAGAGAACGAGAGGGAAGTTTCGGTTAATCATTTCGTTATTATACAAATTATAACACCAGGCTAGCAAACACTTGTTTTTATTGTTTGGCCACAAACCCTTCCGTTCCGAGGCACTGTAACACTATTTCTTTTAAGGAGGATATGGAAATCAGATAGAAATAAAAATCCTCATGAAGATAAATGTTGTAACTTTAAATCGAAATACTGATATATGAGCAATGTTATATCAATATGATACCATTGTCCCCTGTCTACATTTTCTTATCTCTTTATAGTGTATCTACATACAAATGTTCAAATAAAAACAGGATTTACTTTAAGAATAACATTCTCTGACAAATAACCAACATTTAATATCCATATAAACGATGAATAATCAACCAAAATCAATGGGCCATGAAGAAAAATCAGCGTAAATAGAAATGAGATCTTGATCAATAAAGATGTATACTGTACAAATAGGCTTTTTCTGTGATAATCGTAAAAATTATCATATTACATTTGTACAGCGCAAACAAGTGTTTTAAATGGTCATGAGAAAAAATTGACACCTCATATAGGAACTGACGTATCAAATAAATGTATGAGGAATAAGTTTCATACTTACGTTCTGTGAACGTACATCAAGGGAATAATAAATAAAAAATGACATATTGAAATACAGACTACATTTATAAATCATCTTGCTGTTTTGGTTTAGCGGGAGAGACGATTCGGTAATATTCATTTCGTTATTATTTTTTGAAAGTTAGTTAGTTTTCATGTTAACAATGGCTTAGCAAACACTTATTCTTATTGTAATGCAAGAATGTTTTTTCGTACCAAAGCACTGCAACGTTATTTATTTAATTGAGACTATACAAATCAGATCGAATAAAAATTATTGTGAAGATAATAATTGTTAATTGTAATAACCATATACATTATATATAATTGGCCAAAATCATGGGCCGTGAAGAAAGATCGGGGCAACTGGAAATGAGATCTCAATCAATAAATATATACCGTACAAATAGGCTTTTTCTTCGATAATCGTAAATGATTATCATTTATCATTTGTACAGCGTATACGTTCTTTTAAAAGCTCTTGAGGAAAATGATGACACATTATATTTGAACTTATTTTAATCAATTACTATTATTTGAAATTACAACATTTGAAATAACAAATCATACATAGGAAAATACTTTCTGATAAGTTGCAATTGATATCCTTTTTCTCTCTCAGTTTGGTGTTGAAATTAATCTTTAATTTCAAGTTTTCTTGTCTTTACTATCAATTAAAATGTTCTACATTTAACAATAACATTCACAGACGTCATGTCTGAAAGTACTCTGCTCAATTTTTTATCAAAGCAAAATGAATCAATGAAATATAACTTACAAAATGAGAAAAATAAATGGAAATGCAAAGAGTGCCCAGGGTTTTATCAAGATTAAATCATTATATAATTCAAATTTACTGTATCTTGATTCAATATTTGTAAGAATGTTAACCTCGTGGAAATGTTCAGAAAAATGAATGAAAAGTGAATTGTACATATTGGACATGTAAGACAGGTCAGCAAAATCAAACACTTATCAAATAAAGATTATAGGATTGGCAGAATAAAACCACTTTGTATATTCTGATTTTTTTTATTGCGAAATAAAATTGAATTGAATTTAATTGAAATAACCAAAATTTAATAACTGTATCGATTATCAAAAACTAGCCAAAATCATGGGGCATGAAGAAAAATGAGAGGAAAAAGAAATGAGATCTTAATCAATAAAGATATATACTGTACAAATAGGTTTTTTCTTTGATAATCGTAAAAAATATCATATTAATTTGTACAGCGCATAACCGTGTTTTAAAAGGTCTTGAAAAAAAAAATGACACCTCATATAGGAACTGACATATCAAATAAATATATAAGGATCAAATTCCATACTTACTTTCTGTGAACGAAGATCAAGGGAAGAAGAAAAAAAAATTACATAATATAATACAGACTACATATATAAATCATGTAGGTCTTTTGGTAGAGAACGGGAGGGAAGTTTCGATTAATCATTTCTCATTATACCAATTATTACACTGGGTTAGCAAACACTTGATGAGTATTTGCAACTTGTATGCTTCTTTTATTTCTCAATTTGGTATTAAAATTAATTTTCATTTTCAAGATTTCTTGTCTTTACTTTCAATTAAAATGTTCTACATTTAACAATAATATTCACAGACCCCATATAATTGAAAAAGGAATTGTTCTTTTTGGACATGTAAGACAGGTCAGCAGAATTAAAACACTTATCAAATAAACATTATAGGAGTATGTCCCATACTTACCACGCACTGTGAAACAAAGATGAAGGGCAGAACAAAAATAGAATAACAGATAAGTAAAGACTTTATGTATTAATCATGTTCCTCTTTTGGAAGAGAACGGGAGGGAAGTTTCCGTAAATTATTTCGTTATTATTTGTCGAGAGTTCGTGTCCTTTATTTTAGTTAGTTTTCGTTTTACCAATGGCTTAAAACACACTTGTTCTTATTGTATTGCAAAAATGTCTGTTCGTACCGATGGACGGCAACACTACTTCTTTTTAGGAGGCTATGAAAATCAGATACAATCTTAAAAGTTTCTTATGAAGATAAAAGTTGTAAATTTAAATCGTAAAACTGAATTGAGAAATGTTATATGATCAATATATGACACCATTTTCCTCTGTCCACATTTTCTTATCTCTTTATAGTGTATCTCCCTACATTGAAAAACTATTTTTTGTGTGTAAAATGTCCAAATAAATACAAGATTTACTTTAAGAATAACATTCTCTGACAAATAACCAACATTTAATAGCCATATCGATTATTAAAAAAAAAAAAAATACATCATGGCCCATGAAAAAAAATGAGAGGAGAAAGAAACAAGATCTTGATCAATATATTGTACAAATAGGCCTTTTCTTTGATAATCGTACTCATTAATCAAATTACATTTGTACAGCGCATAACAGTGTTTCAAAAGGTCTTGAAGAAAAAAATGACACCTCATATAGGAACTGACATATCAAATTAATATATTAAGATTAAGTTCCATACTTACTTTCTGTGAACGTAGATCAAGGGAAGAAGAAAAAAGAATTACATAATATCATACAGACTACATATATAAATCTTGTTGCTCTTTTGGTAGAGAACGGGAGGGAAGTTTCGGTTAATCATTTCGTTATTATACAAATTATAACACTAGGTTAGCAAACATTTGTTTTTATTGTTTAGCCAAAAACCCTTTCGTTCCGAAGCACTGTTACACTATTTCTTTAAAGGAGGACATGGAAATCAGATACTTATAAAAATTCTTATGAACATAAAAGTTGTAAATTTAAATCGAAATACTGATATATGAGAAATGTTATATCAATATATGATACCATTGTCCCTGTCAACATTTTCTTATCTCTTTATAGTGTATCTCCATACATTTTAACACTGATGTTTTGTGTAAATCGCCAAATAAAATCAGGGTTTACTTTACGAATAACATTATCTGACAAATAACCAACATTTAATAACCATATAAACGAAGAAAAATCAACCAAAATCACGGGCCATGAAGAAAAATCAGCGGAAATAGAAATGAGATCTTGATCAATAAAGATGTAAACTGTACAAATAGGCTTTTTCTGTGATAATCGTACAAATTATCATATCTGACAAATAACCAACAAATAACCAACAAATAACCAACATTTAATAACCATATAAACGATGGATAATCAACCAAAATCACGGGCCATGAAGAAAAATCAGCGGAAATAGAAATGAGATCTTGATCAATAAAGATGTATACTGTACAAATAGGCTTTTTCTGTGATAATCTTAAAAATTATCACATTACATTTGTACAGCGCATACAAGGGTTTTAAATGGTCTTGAGAAAAAAAATGACACCTCATATAGGAACTGACGTATCAAATAAATGTATGAGGAATAAGTTTCATACTTACGTTCTGTGAACGTACATCAAGGGAATAATAAATACAGAAATGACATATTGAAATACAGACTACATATATAAATCATCTTGCTGTTTTGGTTTAACGGAATAGACGATTCGGTAATATTCATTTCGTTATTGTTTTTGGAGAGTTTGATTCTTTTATCTTAGTTAGTTTTCATGTTAACAATGGCTTAGCAAACACTTATTCTTATTGTATTGCAAGAATGTTTTTTTCGTACCAAAGCACTGCAACGTTATTTATTTAATTGAGACTATACAAATCAGATCGAATAAAAATTATTGTGAAGATAATAATTGTTAATTGTAATAACCATATACATTATATATAATTGGCCAAAATCATGGGCCGTGAAGAAAGATCGGAGCAACTGGAAATGAGATCTCGATCAATAAATATATACCGTACAAATAGGCTTTTTCTTCGATAATCGTAAATGATTATCATTTATCATTTGTACAGCGTATACGTTCTTTTAAAAGCTCTTGAGAAAAAATGATGACACATTATATTTGAACTTATTTTAATCAATTACTATTATTTGAAATTACAACATTTGAAATAACAAATCATACATAGGAAAATACTTTCTGATAAGTTGCAATTGATATTCCTTTTTTCTCTCTCAGTTTGGTGTTGAAATTGATCTTTACTATCAATTAAAATGTTCTACATTTAACAATAATATTCACAGACGTCATGTCTGAAAGTACTCCGCCCAATTTTTTATAAAAGCAAAATGAATCAATGAAATATAACATACAAAATGAGAAAAATAAATGGAAATGCATAGAGTACCCAGGGTTTTATCAAGATTAAAGCAATATAAGCTTGTTTCGAATTCCATTTTACTGTATCTTTATATTGCATTCTGTTTGAATATTTGTAAAAATGTTAACCTCGTGGAATTGTTCAGAACAATGAATGAAAAGTGAATTGTACATTCTGGACATATAAGACAGGTCAGCAAAATTCAAACACTTATCAAATAAAGATTATAGGATTATGTTCATACTTACTGACTGTGAATGAAGATCAAGGGCAGAAGAAAAAAAAGATAGAATTACAGATAAGTATAGACTACATGTATAAATCATGTTCCTCTTTTGGAAGAGAATGGGAGGGAAGATTCGGTTATTAATTTCGTTGTTCTTTCTTGTGAGTTCGTGTCCTTTATCTTAGTTAGTTTTGATGTTGACAATGGAATAGCAAACACTTGTTTTTATTGTATTGTAACAATGTCTCTTCGTTTCGAAGCACTGCAACACTATTCCTTTCAGGAGGCTTTGATAATGAGATACATATAACAATCCTTGTGAAAAATGAATGGAAATGCATATAATACCCAGGGTTTTAACAAAATTAGAGCATTATAAGCTTTTTTCGAATTCAATTTTACTGTATCTTAATATTGCATTCTGTTTGAATATTTGTAAGAATGTTAACCTCGTGGAAATGTTCACAAAAATAAATGAAAAGTGAATTGTACATATTGGACATGTAAGACAGGTCAGCAAAATCAAACACATATTAAATAAAGAGTATAGGATTAGCAGAATAAAACCACTTATCAAATAAAGATTATAGGATTGGCAGACTAAAACCACTTATCAAATAAAGATTATAGGATTAGCAGAATAAAACCACTTATCAAATAAATATTATAGGATTATGTTCCATACTTACTGTCTGTGAACGAAGATCAAGGGAATAAGAAAAAATATAGAACTTCATATAAGTATAGACTACAATCATGTTCCTCTTTTGGTAGAGAACGGGAGGAAAGGTAAGGTCAAATTTCTCGAGAGTTAGTGTCCCCTTTTTTGTGTTAGTTTTCGTTTTAACAATGGCTTAACACACACTTGTTCTTAATGTTCTGTCAAGGCTTTCTACAGATGAAACATGGACGCCGGGCAGCTTTGAAGCACGATATAAAAAGAGACCTCCAAAGCAAAAGCTATTATTGTATCCTGAGACCAGCGCAACATGCATGTCAGACCGTAGTAAAACCCAACACTCTTGGCGCGCCAGGCCCGTAAATCGTCCCACCACGGACCACCTCCCAAGTTTTGTTACGGTCTATTACGTACTGTCACGTTTTGTTGCTTTCACCCCGTTTTACTACGGCCTACTAGGCTTCTCATTCGCACATGACTTCAGGGACAATTTTCTTGAGAAAAAAAGACACCTCATATAGGACCTGATTTTAATCAATTAATTATTATTTGAAGTGACAACATTGGAAATACGAAATTATACATAGGAAAATACTTTATGATTATTTGCAATTTGTATGCTTCTTTTATTTCTCAATTTGGTATTAAAATTAATCTTTATTTCAAGATTTCTTGTCTTTACTATATCAATTAAAATGTTCTACAATTAACAATTTAATTCACAGACCCCATATTAATTTAAAAGGAATTGTTTATATTGGACATGTAAGACAGGTCAGCAAAATTAAAACACTTATCAAATAAAGATTATAGGATTAGCAGAATTAAAACACTTATCAAACAGATATTATAGGAGTATGTCCCATACTTACCAGGCACTGTGAAACAAAGATTAAGGGCAGAAGAAAAATAAAATTACAGATAAGTAAAGACTTTATGTATTAATCATTTTCCTCTTTTGGTAGAGAACGGGAGGGAAGTTTCCGTAAATTATTTCGTTATTATTTGTCGAGAGTTCGTGTCCTTTATTTTAGTTAGTTTTCGTTTTACCAATGGCTTAAAACACACTTGTTCTTATTGTATTGCAAAAATGTCTGTTCGTACCGAAGGACGGCAACACTACTTCTTTTTAGGAGGCTATGAAAATCAGATACAATCTTAAAAGTTTGTTATGAAGATAAAAGTTGTAAATTTAAATCGTAAAACTGAAATGAGAAATGTTATATGATCAATATATGACACCATTTTACTCTGTCTACATTTTCTTATCTCTTTATAGTGTATCTCCCTACATTGAAAAACTATTTTGTGTGTGTAAAATGTCCAAATAAATACAGGATTTACTTTAAGAATAACATTCTCTGACAAATAACCAACATTTAATAGCCATATCGATTATTAAAAAATAGCCTACATCATGGCCCATGAAGAAAAATGAGAGGAAAAAGAAATAAGATCTTGATCAATATACTGTACAAATAGGCCTTTTCTTTGATAATCGTACTCATTAATCAAATTATATTTGTACAGCGCATAACAGTGTTTCAAAAGGTCTTGAAGAAAAAAATGACACCTCATATAGGAACTGACATATCAAATTAATATATTAAGATTAAGTTCGATACTTACGTTCTGTGAACGTAGATCAAGGGAAGAAGAAAAAAGAATTACATAATATCATACAGACTATATGTATAAATCTTGTTGCTCTTTTGGTAGAGAACGGGAGGGAAGTTTCGGTTAATCATTTCATTATTATACAAATTATGAAACTGGGTTAGCAAACACTTGTTTTTATTGTTTAGCCACAAACCCTTTCGTTCCGAAGCACTTTAACACTATTTCTTTAAGGAGGATATGGAAATCAGATACATATACAAAGTCCTTATGGAGAAAAAAATTGTAAATTTAAATCGAAATACTGATATATGAGAAATGTTATATCAATATATGATACCACTATCCCATATGGAAACGTTGTATCATCCGCTCAATCTGACTTGTGTGCATAGAACAAATAAGCATTTTTCCATGAAAAAGTGAAGTTTTCTAAAATGTGCGTTTCTTTCCAGCATTGGGGCGCCCGGAATTCACTCGGGTAACATTTCATAAATTATAATATAAAAAGACCATATGCAAATTTTCTGTACTTTTGCCGGAAAAAATACATTTATCCAGCACAATGTCGTGTCTTTTTGCGTTGGAGAAGAGCAAATAGCGAGTTTCAATCACACTTTGGCCGCTCTCGCAAGCTCTCACTGTGGTCAAGCGACTTTGGGGCAAGCGGTTAATGAAAATACTAATCGTTAGCTTTCTCCTGGTATTAAACTTGTTTTGATTGATTGTATAATTTTGTCGGAATAAAGGAAACAAAAAGGCTCGACCATTAACTTATCAGCGTCTGAATTGACCTTTTGACCTTGAATTCCCTGATGCAAGCGCACTAATGACGTCATCTTCGCTAAATCGGTGTCTTTTTATCGTAAAATGCGACACTTTCACAATGTTTATACATCTTTTTTTAATTATTAGTAAGATATAACATATTTTTTTCTGATATCACTGAAGTTTTGGGTTTTATTTAATGAGTAATTTTAAAATAAGATCCATTTTACTGTTTTAATTTACTGGATCGTACCATTAAAGTCGCAGGGTAGAAAGATGCATTTTCCAACCGCGCCAAATTTAATTTACGTTCCGACATTCTGTTAAATGGGTTTGTGTTGTTAATAATCCAATGCTTTCTGCTCCACCAAACGTCCACATGCGGAGTCGTTTATCAACTAAATTATTCAAATTCATGGATGCTTCCTAGCTTCCAAGGTGTTTGTGTTGTTGAAGCATTTCATTCACCTGCTATCATTCTTACTCCAATTGCCAGAACGCAAATTTTATTTTAGTTTTATAGTTTCATCGGAGTCGTTTATCAACTATATGTATTCAAATTTATGAATGCTTCCTCCCCAGGTGTTTGTGGTGTTTATGCATTTCATTCACCTGTTATTATTATTTGTACTCCAATTGTTAGAATACAAAATGTATTTTAGTTTTATAGTTTCATGTAGTGAGTAAGTCAACAAAAGAGTATGTTCTGCAACGTGTGTCCCTATTGTACAATGTAATGTGTCCCCTCATTTTGTAATAGTTAATTTACCCATTCACATAATGGAACTACCTGCCCGATGAAGCCAGTAGCCTGTGACCCCTTAGCCTATAATCTAGGCGGAGTGCCGAGCTTTTTTCTTTGCTGCTAGACTAACCTTAAGCAGAACGTCTGATACGGCGAGACTACGAACCGTGAGCCGCGAAGCGGCTCACCGCCTATAATCACTGGTCTAGCTTTAGTCGTTGTTTTTTTTTATTATCGACCATGAATCCGTGGCAGTTTTTCGTACGAAAAAACCTCATGAATACGAAATGAACTCAACCAATCAGAAACACGTATGGAGAAGAGCTATGCATATGCATATTATAAATCACGTGACATTACGTCATTTTCTTCATCCAAGATGGCGGGTAGTTCATGCGACGACGATCTTCTGCGAGAAAGTTTATCATATGCGGCCAACAAACTAGGCATTCCTAATGGAAAATTCAGAGAACTGCAGGAATCCGCTATTCGTAGCGTTATTGAAGCCGGCAGGGAAATTTTTGTTGCATTACCTACTGGTTTTGGAAAGAGTGCAATATACCAAGCAATCCCCTTGTGCTGTGATTTTCTACGGGACCACGGATACTATGATCATGATGACTCGAGCGCAATCTTTTTTCGTTGCGGTTTTTTATATCTGATTGGTCGAACGTAACATAGGTGTACCTTATTTGGTAGGGCTGTTGAATGATTCATAGATCCGCCATTTTGAATATATATGAATATTGATTAGCTAGACCAGTGATTATAGGCGGTGAGCCGCTTCGCGACTCACGGTTCGTAGTCTCGCCGTATCAGACGTTCTGCTTAGGGTTAGTCTAGCAGCAAAGAAAAAGCTCGGCACTCCGCCTAGATTATAGGCTAGTGACCCCTGAGCACTCAACACCGTGTGGGAGTCAGTTTGTGGTCAACTTCTTTTATGAGACACATACAAGCAAACGTTTCCATATGCTGTCAACATTTTCTTATCTGTTTTTAGTGTATCTCCATACAATATGTTAAAACAATTGTTTTGTGTAAAATGTCCAAATAAAAACAGGATATACTTTAAGAATTACATTCTCTGATAAATAACCAACATTTAATAACCATATAGATTTTCAAAAAATGCCCCAAATCATGGGCCATGAAGAAAAACAGAGGAAATAGAAATGAGATCTTGATCAATAAAGATGTATACTGTACAAATAGGCTTTTCCTTTGATAATCGTAAAAATTATCATATTACATTTGTACAGCGCAAAACAGTGTTTTAAAAGGTCTTGAAAAAAAATTAAACCTCATATAGGAACTGACATATTAAATAAACATATAAAGATCAAGTTTCATACTTACCATCTGTGAACGTAGATCAAGGGAATACAAAAAAAATATATATATATAATACAGACTACAAATATAAATCATGTTGCTTTTTTGGTAAAGAACGGGAGGGAAGTTTCGGTTAATCATTTCGTTATTATACAAATTATAACACTAGGTTAGCAAACACTTGTTTTTATTGTTTAGCCAAAAACCCTTTCGTTCCGAAGCACTGTTACACTATTTCTTTAAAGGAGGACATGGAAATCAGATACTTATAAAAATTCTTATGAACATAAAAGTTGTAAATTTAAATCGAAAAACTGATATATGAGAAATGTTATATTAATATATGATACCATTGTCCCTGTCAACATTTTCTTATCTCTTTTTAGTGTATCTCCATACATTTTAAAATTATTGTTTTGTGTAAAATGTCCAAATAAAAACAGGATTTACTTTAAGAATTACATTCTCTGATAAATAACCAACATTTAATAACCATATAGATTTTCAAAAAATGGCCCAAATCATGGGCCATGAAGAAAAATCAGAGGAAATAGAAATGAGATCTTGATCAATAAAGATGTATACTGTACAAATAGGCTTTTCCTTTGATAATCGTAAAAATTATCATATTACATTTGTACAGCGCAAAACAGTGTTTTAAAAGGTCTTGAAAAAAAATTAAACCTCATATAGGAACTGACATATTAAATAAACATATAAAGATTAAGTTTCATACTTACCTTCTGTGAACGTAGATGAAGGGAATAAAAAAATAAATAATATAATACAGACTACAAATATAAATCATGTTGCTTTTTTGGTAAAGAACGGGAGGGAAGTTTAGGTTAATCATTTCGTTATTATACAAATTATAACACTAGGTTAGCAAACACTTGTTTTTATTGTTTAGCCAAAAACCCTTTCGTTCCGAAGCACTGTTACACTATTTCTTTAAAGGATGACATGGAAATCAGATACATATAAAAATTCTCATGAACATAAAAGTTGTAAATTTAAATCGAAATACTGATGTATGAGAAATGTTATATCAATATATGATACCATTGTCCCTGTCAACATTTTCTTATCTCTTTTTATTGTTTCATACATTCTAAAACTATTATTTTGTGTAAAATGTTTAAAAAAAATAAGAATAATATTTCCTGAAAAATTAACAACATGTAATGCTACTTTTACACTATGTTCTTGGTAGCCACGGCAGCCCCATCTCCTCGAAACGTAGAGTGTCGTGGGATTTTGTCGATTTTTCTCAGTGTCTATCACGGTTTCCGTGACGGGTCGTGGGAGGGTAAGGAGTTCCAAGGCACACTGCGGACTACCAAGGATGCTAGTACGTTTAGTGTCGGCCGTTCACGTTCTGATGGGGTCCCTCACATTTCTCACGTTCTGATCAAGGACTGACACGTTTTTCACGTTCTGTCAAGGCTTTCTACCGATGAAACATGGATGCCGGGCAGCTTTGAAGCATTTCTTGTCTTTACTATCAATTAAGATGTTCTATAATTAACAATTAAATTTACAAACGCCATATTAATTTAAAAGGAATTGTTCATATTGGACATGTAAGAAAGGTCAGCAGAATTAAAACACTTATCAAAAAGATATTATAGGATTATGTCTCATACTTACCACGGCCTGTGAAACAAAGATCAAGGGCAGAAGAAAGAAATAGAATTACAGATAAGTAAAGACTATATGTATAAATCATGTTCCTCATTTGGTAGAGAACGGGGGGGGGGGGGGGAGTTTCGGTTAATCATTTCGTGATTATTTCTCGAGAGTTCGTGTCCTTTATTTAAGTTAGTTTTCGTTTTAAAAATGGCTTAACATACACTTGTTCTTAATTTATTGCAAAAATTTCTGTTCGTACCGAAAAACAGCAACACTGCTTTTTTTAAGGAGGCTATGAAAATCAGATACAATCATTTAAAAATCCTTATGAATACAAAATTTGTAAATTCAAATCCTAAAACCGATGTGAGAAATTAGATATCAATAAATGGTACCATTACATTCATTTATCTTTGTATCGTTTCCATACATTATAAAAATGATTATCTTTTGTAAAATGTACAAATAAAAACAGGATTTACTTTAAGAATAACATTCTCTGACAAATAACCAACATTTAATATCCATATAAACGATGAATAATCGGCCAAAATCAGGGGCCATAAAAAAAGATCGGAGGAAGTAATAATGAGATCTAGATCAATATAGATATACCGTACAAATAGGCTTTTTCTTTGTTATTCATAAATAATCATCATATTAAATTTGTACGGTGTATTCCATAACATTTTAAAAGCTCTATAAAAAAATGACAACTCATATTTGAAGTTATTTTAATCATTTACTATTACTTGGAATTACAACATTGGAAATATGAATTTAAACGTAGGAAAGATCATTTCTTTTTTAGGTGCCTCTTTTCTTTCTGTGTTTGATGTTAAAATTAATCTAAATTTTTAAAGGCCCACTGCACTACTTGTAGCTACCTGCGCCCTCTATATAACAAACAATGCCTAATCGGTGACCATTGGTCCCCCATGATCCTCTTTTTCTTATGTTAACTGATAGCTGAGTTGATGAGATAACCACCTGTCCAGTGACCTTGCAGGGCGGTCTAATCCCTCCTGTAAACTATGGCAGATAAGCTTTAAGATGTCTTAGTTTTACTATCAATTAACATGTTCAACATGTAGAAATAATATTCACAGACCACATGGTATGAACGCAATACACTTTACTGTTATTAAGGTCAAATGATTGAACGCATTACATATACAAATCCTGAAATGAAATATTTAAAAAAAAGTACAAAGTGTAACCAGGATTTTATGAAGATAAGAGCATTATAAGCTATGAGTGCGTGAAAAGGTTCAGAATAATGAATGAAAATGAATTGATAATAAAGGACATGTAAGAAAGGTCATCAGCAAGTAACCACTTATCAAATTTATATTATAGTATTAAGTTCTATACTTACGTTCTGTGAAGGAAGATCAAGGGCCGAAGACAAAAGATAGAATTACAGATAAGTTTAGATTACATATATTATTCATGTTCCTCTCTGGGTGGAGAACGGAAGGGAATTTTCTGTTAATCTTCAAGTTGTTGGTATTATTTCTCGCGAGTTCATTTATTTTTAGTTAGTTTTCATTTTAACAATGGCTTAGCAAACACTTGTTTTTATTGTATTGCATGGATATCCCTTTGTACCGAAGCACTGCAACCAGGCGCGTACGCAGGATTTTTTCAAGAGGGGGGGGGGGGGGGGGTTAACAATTTTTAAATCGGGCCGATAATTTCACAACGACTCAGCCAGCCGCTGAATAAGGGGGGGGGGAAGAGGACACTTTTTTTAGGTCAGCAATTGGTATAATTTTTTTCTTTTTTTCTATAAATAGCAATGTTGAGTTTGTTAAGGGAGGGTAAGAGGACACTTTTTTCTTTTTTTTGTTGTCTCGAAATTTGAAAATTTGATATTTTCCTCAGTAGAAGGGGGTGTAAGCGGACATTTTTTTTTTTTTTTTTTTTTTAGTCCAAAAAAAATCGTAACGACTCAGCCAGCTGAAAAAGTCGCTCAGTGGGGGAGGGGGGGGGGGCACTTTTTTCTTCTTTTTTTTTTGGTCTCGAAATTTGAAAATTTGATATTTTCCTCATTTGGGGGGGGGGGGGGGGGTGGGGTAAGCGGACATTTTTTTTTTTTTTTGGAGTCCAAAAAAAAAATCGTAACGACTCAGCCAGCTAAAAAGTCGCTCAGTGGGGGGGGGGGGGCACTTTTCTTTCTTTTTTTTGGTCTCGAAATTTGAAAATTCGACATTTTGTTCCGTTTGGGGGGGGGGGTAAGGTCACCTTTTTTAGGTCAGCCATTGGCGTAATTTTTTTAAATTCTTTTTTTAATAAAACATACACACATATACACATACACAAAACATACACACAAAAAAAACTCAAGGGGGGGGGTTTAACCCCAACCCCCCCCCCCCCCCCCCCCCCCCCTGCGTACGCGCCTGGTTAGGGCTAATCATTTTGGTAATATTCTTTTCGAATATGTACCCTTTACGTTAGTTATCATTCATGTCTACATTTTTATGATTTATCGTTTTGCACATCCCTTCTTGCCGAAACACTGCAACACGAGTTCATCAAATTTGGATTATTAATCATGTACATGTTTTCATGTAACTATCATTAGGTAGATTAAAGTTGTAAAGTTTTGTGTAACAATTATGAACCATTTCCTTATATTTTTTCTCTCATTTGTATTAATTCACCATTAATTGACATGTTGCATGTTCCAAAATTATATTTATTATTGACCATCGACACCAATCAAATGAAAGAACTATATAAATATCTATGAAGGTAAAACAAATAAATCATATACATATAACTATCATTCATGAGAAGATGGATGTAAATACAAATCGTCAACACGAAGTTATAAATGAAATAGCTTTATGAGGTATCTTTTTCGATTCTATATTACCTAATCATGAAAACACTTTCGGTTTCAATACATTTGTAAATGTTAACCTCGTGCCAAGTTTCACTGAAGCAAATATGTAAATGTAAGGGAAATGTATCAGTTGGATGAAGAAAGAAAAATCAGATTAAATAAGATAATAATGTTAGAATAAAGTTGAATACTTACGTTCTTTGAACGATGATCAAGGGCATAAGGAAAAGAAGAAGAACGAAGAGATACATATTAGAATATAATCATACATGCAATCGTTTTTTCCTCTCTTATTTTGGTTCACTTTTTACTCGCTTTCTGTGTACAATATCGTAAAAAACGTATATGTATTATATCGCATGAACACTGACGAAAATTCCGTCTTATGGCAGCATAAACATATTATCAGTGTAGTAAAATAAGAAAAGAAAACAAAGAAATTAATCAGGAAAGAGGATAGAGAAAGAAAAAAATATGTTACCCTTTTTCTTTTTCTTTTCTTAGCATGTTTTAATTTTATTTGTAATGTTTTTTTTAATTTGATCTATCCAACATTAAGATAAATTTTGATATGCTTTCAGTTTGAGTATATTTCTCAATAATAGTCTTGTATAAAAGGATTTTAAAAGGGCAAATATTGCTATTGATAGAAAAAGCATATGTCAAGTGGTAAACCAGAATGTTCAACATATTTATACAAAAATCCTTTGAATAAGTTGAATACTTACTACGAGCTATGGACGATGATCACGGACAGATGAAAAATAGATTAAAATGCATATTAGATTAGACTAAAAGACTGTATGTACAAATTATGTTCCTCCTTTTTAGATGATTTCGTTAGTTAATCAGTTAGTGATATTGCGGTCCATTTAAATGTTTTTATTCAGTGTAAGTAACATTCATGTTCACACTGTCGTAGGGAACATAGCTTTATCATGGTTATTATTTTGCTCGAATAATCCAGTTTATTGAAACGTTGCACCATGAGTGTATTGAGATATGGTTGATAAATCGTGTACATATGTTATCCGGGAGTAGAAAAAAATTAAAATACCTATAGATGGTATCTTTTTTACTTTTCTTATAATTATTGTATTGCTCTGAGATTGAATGCATTCACGGACGTTCACTTTGTTTTAGATGTTGCAATTGAACAGAGAAATTATTAAAAAGACAAATTTATTGAGATTTATTGAACATATGAAATATACATCATTGGTTGAAGTTGCATACTTACGTGCTGTGAACGAAGATTGAGGAAGGTAGAAAAGACATGAAGAACATGACAGATATGCAGTACAAATAGCTTCCTTCTTTGACAATAGGAATAATAATGATACCCTATGACACGCCGCATTTACATTTTGTTCAAGGTGCATTGCTGCTTTACAATACATGCAATTAATACATGCAAATGAGAAAGAAGATCATGATACGTCATTTTGTCCTTCAAATCTCATGTGAACTATCTAAAATTATCGATAGAAAACTACTATACGTGAGAACATATTTTTCTACTTCTTAATTCGCATGCAAGGTGCCTCTCTTCTTTTTCAGTTTGGCGTAACAACAACACATTTTCTAATATCGTTCTTTTCTCATTTTCCGGACCTTTACAGGTAATTGACATGTTCCATGTTTCCAAGTTATATTACGTATCGACCATACACACTCATCAAATGAAAGAACTGCACTTCATATCTATGAGAGTAAAATTAGTAAATTAGACACACATAATTATCATCCATGAGAAGATGGATGTAAATTGAAATTGCGAACACGAGGTTATAAATGTAGCAATATGATATTGTTGTTTTGTAATATTCTACATACCATGATAATGCTATTGATTTCAATATATTCATGAATTGTAATCTTGTGCATAGTTTCAATGAAGCAAAAAAGTAAATGAAAGGAAAGAAATATCAGATGAATGACTAAAGTCAGTCTATGAAATAATCAAGATTGGATAAAATTGCATACTTACGTTCTGTAAACGAAGATCAAGGGCAGTGAAAATAGAGAAAGAGGATAATTATTAAAGTGTATTACATGCACCCATCATATTATTTATTATAGCACTAACACTGACGAATATTCAAGCTGCTGAAAACATAAACCTATTATGAATAAATGAATTATTCATATACATGTCAAATCCGTCAGAAATAAGATTTAAGAATTCAAATTATGCAAAAGCTCATCTCAAATTAAGTTGTATTATTATTAATATCATAATTTACATTATCTTCATTGTTTTTATGATTGATATGATTGTTACTATTATTATTTTTATTATTATCATTATCATTTCTCCTCCTCCCTACCCGCCCCCCCCTCCCACACACACAATTCAATGGTTCAATGTTTTGCTATTTTACCATGTTTCCCTTTTCTTTTCTTTTTTCTTAACATTGATATCATATCAGTATTTGGTAGTTAAGGGAAATATTGATATATTTCATTAACTATAACGGTAAAGGATCATTTTGACTAGACTATAATGTATGCATATTGTTTGCAATACCTTCTTCATCTCCATCAGGGTCGACTAGCTTGCTTCGAAGCCCCATGGAGGACCTCGGTACCTTCCTCGCTTTTTCTTCTACCATGCCTACAATGATGCGTATTTCAATTGAAAAAAAGAACTCAATGTCAGGCCATATAAAAGGGTAACGAAAAATTTAAGAAAGGAAAAAAACTATTATAGCCTGGAATAACCAATTCAACAGTGGCGGATCAAGAAGCCGAATCCCCCCCCCTCCCTCCACTCCGTTTGGCGGCCTAAAAAAGATGGGAAGAGATAGCAACGGACGAAAAAAATTGAAGAAAGAGAAAAGAATATAAAAGAAAAGAAGACAGAAACAGGAAAGAGAGCGAGAAAAAATATAAATATAACGCTATCCTGAGTATTAAGGGTCGGCAACATTTTGGATGGAATGAAAGCCCAACCCCAACAAAAGTTATTCATAATGCGTACATAAATCAGTGGTGGACCAGGGAGGGGAGGGCGAATCGGCCACGACCCTTTTTCTTTGGTGGCCTTAATAAAAGACAGGAGGGGGAAAGAGAAAATGACGGAACAAAGAGAAGAAAAAAGATGAAAGCGATATAAATATATAACAAGATAAGGATAGAGAGAGAGAGAGAGAGAGAGAGAAGAAAAAGAAAGAAAAAGAGAAGAACTTGAAACTAAAAAGTACACATACAGATTGGAGTGCCAATGAAATGGCACATTATGTGCCAACAAAGATTTCGGACGAAAGTAGTATATTAGGGGGGGGGGGGAACAGTTTGAGGAATTTGTCTTTAAAAGAGAAAGAGAGATGATCTGTAACTAATTAGAATAATAGGGAATGTGGGCATTTCATGTTGAGAATTACAATTTCTATCGCAAAATCATATCACACCACCTGAGAGCGAAAATGTTTAATTTGTGTGTATTAATAACCTTGGTTTCACTTTTAGATTTTACATTCCTGTCAGCAGAAACGGGCCTTCCGATTTATTTACTAGTCTGGAAAAGCCAATGTCAAGTTTGTTAGGCATATACCCTACATAATGAGTTAAATGCTGTACAGTGGAATCTCGTAATAACGAGGTCCTTGGACCAAAAATAATTACCTTCCTATATCAGGAATCTTGTTATATCAAGGGGAGAGAAATACGAAAAGCTGGGACCAGTGAAATCACCTTGTTATAACAGATACCTCGTTATATCAGAGCATTTTACAGAACAGAACAGAACCCTCTGGTGAGAGAGAACAAAATAAATCTTACTTGAAAATTTGTCAGCTATCCCGGCAAGATCTGCATCTATGAGAGCTGCCTCTAATGTGGCCCATTGTTTGTTCACAAGTGTCTTATTCTTCCATGTGTGCAGCATCCTCATTGTTCCTTCCGTAGATACTTGGCCATTCATCCGGTTCATCGCAGTAAATCTTTCAGCATCCTCCATTTTTAAGCCGAGTTTCAAAGCTAGCTTCGTTAACGGTGTACTAACTCCAATCCTCTCCGCCATCGCGAGTATGATGATATCACTCACTCCTTCCATTGTCTTTTTAAACCTAATGACAGAGCAAATTAAGGCATAGCATACATAAATGGGAATATCAATAAAAACTATTAGGCCGTGGGCCGAGCAGCCAACAATGTTTTCGTTTTTTAGTTCCATTTCAATTTTTTTTTGGAGGAAGATTTGCCTTAAAATTACAATAAAAAGACGTAGATTACATCTTGAATTGTTTTTCTACAAGTTGCACGTTAGCCCACAATTTGAGTCAATATGACTGGAATTTGAGCGAAGTTCTAACCGGCGACATAATCAGAGATTCGAATTTACCATTCGGAGCAAACATGTAAGCCTCTATAGACAATTTAGACCTCGTTCTCACTCACTACCTGCACCGATCTAGGCCAGACCGATCTAGGGTATATCGGTATAACGGTGAGTATGAACGGAAGCGATCTTCTGGACCGATCCAGAAGATCATTTCGCGATGTGGTCTTCTGGACCGGTTCGCTTCCTAGACCGCTTTAGACCGATCTTGCCTGCAGTGTGAACATAAACCGTGCCAGGCAGCTATCTTCAACTGGAAGTGAGTGTGTTCTGGCGGGAAAGTTATACAAGAGAGAAAGAGATTACAGTTCCAGGATAAAAACACGGAACAATATAAGGATAGATAGAGAAAAAATGATGAATTAATAAAAACAAAGAATAACATAAGAAAAGGTGATAAAAGGAAGAAACAAAGGATGGCGTTAGGAAAAATAGGAAGATGAAATAATAGAATAATGAAAACAAAGAATAACGTAACGGAAGTTGATAGAAGGAAAAACAAAAAATACATTATGAAAAGAAAGAAGAGAAGATGAAAGATTGAAAATACAAAGAAAACCATGAATTAAACCAGATAGAGAATATTATAAAAGGAAAAAAATAACATAAGAAGTGAAAGAACTGAGGAAAAATAAAGACTAACATAAAGAAGACAGAAAGAGAAAATTATAAAAGGAAAGCAAATAATAAAATGTGAAGTGAAAAGGGAAAACCAAAGACTAACATGAGGAAAGATAGTAAGAGAAAATGATAAATTATAGAAAATTTAAAAAAAGAAGAGGAGATGAAACATGGAAAAACAAAGAATAACATAAGGAAAGTTGATAGATAAAAAACATAGAACAGATAATGAAAAGAAAGAAGAGAAGATAAAAGAAAATTATAACAGAAAAATAAAGACTAACATAAAAAGTGAAAGAAGGTTAACAAAAAAGAATAACATAAGAATAGGGGAACGGGAAGAAAAAAGAATAACATTAAGAAAGATTAAAAGATAAATGATAGCATGATAACAACAAATAATCACATAAGGTATGATATAAGAAAGAAAAAAAGAATAACATAAGGAAAGACAGAAAGAGAAAATGTTAAAGAGTATATACTGAAAGGAAGAAGAGAAGATGAAACATGCAAAAAACAAAGAATAACATATGTAAAAACAAAAAAAGAATTAAAAAAAGGAAAACAAAGAATAACAGAAGAAGTGAAAGAAGGAAAAACAAAGACTAACATAAAGAAAGATTAAAAGAGAAAATGATAAATAATATAGAATTAAAAAACGGAAGAGGAAATGAAAGATGGAAAACATAGAATAACAAAAGAAAACAGAAAAAGAAAATAATAGAAAGAAAATAAAGAATAACATGAGAAAAGATAAAAAGAAAAAAAAGATAGAAGAGGAGATGAAAGCTGGAAAAACAAAGATTGACATAAGGAAAACAGCAAATGATACAAGGAAAAACAAAGGATCTGGTGTCAAAGTAAAAGGGTCTCTTATAAGCAGTGAGAAGGGGCACTTCCCGCACCTGAAAAGTGGTAATCATCGAAGGTGAAATTTGGCACTAACTAGAAGAGGAAAGGGGCATTTATTACAACGGAAAATGGGCACACATCACAGGTGAAGAGAGGATCTAAAGAGAAGGGGAAAGGGGCATTTATTTGTGAATGTGTATAAAGATGTATACTTCTATATACACTGTCGCTCATATAGTTGGAATATTTTTTTTTTAAACCCCAATTCATGGAATTATTTTGACAATGATTTATTCCTAATAGATCTAGATAATAACATGCATTCTCAATTTGTATTGAATAATATTTTGCCAGTGTTTATTTTGTGTGAATGCTAAAGCATGTGTATGCTACTATGCTTATCAACTAGGGGCCTACGCCCTTAAGTCATAAATGACAGTAATGAGGATTAATGCCCCACAAAAGGGCTTCGATATGGCACATCGACACGGATTTGATCCTGGGGCCTCACAGTTAGGAGGCCATTGCTTCGCCACTGAACCATGACTGTACGCAGCGGGGGCTAGGGTAGGGGGCAGTTCCCACAAATAAAAAAAAACCAAGAAAATGCAATAATGATTTTCAATAATTCATTGAATCCCCCCCCCGGTCCCCAACATAAACAAATCCTCGGTATGACCATGCATTATGGCTGAAGGCATATGTTTACAACTACCATGTCCATTGTCACTAATGAGTAGATGTATTCTTACTCAAGGTTAAATGGCAACACATTTTGCCACCATTCCTAACCCCAACAGGAAATTATTGTTCATCCCGATGGTTCGCATGTCACGGTGCCCATTATCAGCAAATGAGGGCAATATTTCAAACCAGAACGTCAATGACGTAGTGCTCATCCGCATCTCGCAACAACAAATATCGTAAATTTTATGTGGTACACTTTTGAACTGGTCAAAAAATAAAAATTAAGCTCTACCAGATAAGACAAACCAAATCAAAATCGGTCAAGAAATGAGGGAGAAGAAGCAATTTTTGTTATTTTTGGAATAAATTTGCATAAATTACCATAATTAATTAATGGAGAACAATTTCAAAATTCTGTGTAGAAGTTTAGTGTACCAAAGTTAGCTCTACGATATAAAGCAAACCAAATCGAAATCGGTCGAAATATGATGGAGAAGAAGCATTTTTTGTTATTTTTTTAATTATTTTTGGAATAAATTTGCCTAAATTACCATAATTAATCAATGGAGCAAAATCTCAAAATTCGGTGCAGAATTTAGTGTTCCAAATTTAGCTCGACCAGATAAGGCAAACCAAAGCAAAATCGGTCAAGAAATGAGGGAGAAGAAGCAATTTTGTTATTTTTGGAATAAATTTGCATAAATTACCATAATTAATTAATGGAGAACAATTTCAAAATTCTGTGTAGAAGTTTAGTGTACCAAAGTTAGCTTTACGATATAAAGCAAACCAAATCAAAATCTTCGTGCCGGAAGAGCTAAAAATGTCCCCACAGGTTATTCTATAAGCTCACTCGCAATCATATTTTATAGATATGAAATAAATTAACATGCAAATAAGCGGATTGCATCAAGGATGTTGACATTGCTTAACATTAGAGACTTTTAGATTGAGTGGACGAGAACGGCGTGAACGTCCACTGATCATGCGTGTCTATGGAAAGCCGTTTTAAATTTTATTCCTATTTCTTGATATCAAGAATTACCATTGCTTTACAACTGATTTAATAAAGATCATGGTCACGCCAAGTTTTATATCAGTTTGTTTACTTGGAACCATGAAAGATGAAGTTAAAAGACTTAATGATTTTGTGCTTGCTGCTGTGTAATGTGTACCACCCATATAATTACTGGTACAACAATTTTCGGAACACTCTGTTTTTGAGAAACGTAACCCTACCACTATTTGAAATAAACTCGCCTATTCACGACTTCAATGATGGTTATGTTCATGGCATTGGAACCAAACTTTTCCACCATAAATTCGTCGGAAGACGGATTCAATATTATAACAACTCGATATCAACTTTTCGTAGTGAACTTCTTCGATGTGGAGACGTTGAGAGCAACCCTGGACCTCGACTCAACGGCAACATCAATGAAAATGGACAAATATCTCAAATCCGTAGATATCCCATCTCATCTTTACATGATATAAGGACAACATGTACACGCACCAAACTACCCCCTGCTACGTGGGACATCATCAAACACCTGGGTATCAATAGCAAACCTGCTCCCCACCGAGGTAAGAGAGGAGGCAATCATTCACGAAATCGGAAACAAATTCCTGTCCTTGTTCGACAACGAATTACTAAACGAACTAGTAATAGGCATATCCAACAAGATAGAAACAAATGCCTTATTACAATACATATTGAGAAAACTTCTACACATCAGAATAGGAAACAGAAGTATGATCTACCCTCTGTCCTTTTATTGAATGCTAGATCATTACAAAACAAGTTTGATGATATGTCAGTTGTTGCTGATATCAATAATGCTGACTTAATTGCAATTACAGAGACTTGGTTCAACGAAAATACCCCTCTGCAGCTTTTTTCATTGTCAAATTACAATCTATTCTTCAAATCCCGAAAGGATCGTGTTGGTGGCGGCGTCGCGCTCTACGGTAAACAACGACTCCACTGCAAACAACTCCCAGTACAAGTTCCTGACGGCCTAGAGGTCCTGTGGATCCAGATGAGACCACCAAAATTACCACGCCAAGTATCATCTATTATAATCTGTGTGATCTACTTCCCACCCAGGGACCCGCTCTCACCGGATTATATCGATCACATTACTTCTACCATTGATGAACTACTAATTCGATATCCTGGAGCCGGAATATTCATAATTGGTGATTTTAATGACCTCGATATTGAGCCCTTTCTACAAGATCAACGATTTAAGCAAGTGGTACAGCAACCAACAAGAGGAGAAAATATTTTAGATATGATTATTACAAATTATTCATTATTATATCACTCACCTGAGATTTTATGTCCAATAGCTAATAGTGACCACAACTGTGTTTTGTGGCAACCACGTTTTCCTCAAGCTAACCGTTCAAATAAAATACGCAAAAAAATTGTTCGACCCTTGACGGATAGTGGTCGAAGGGTTTTTGGATCTTGGATAACCCAACATTCCTGGAAAGAAGTTCTCCAAGCAACCGGC